CCGTAACAAAGAACTGATTAGTCATCCTTAACTGCCACATCTGACAGTACCTTCACACTTCACATTGCACTTAAAATTCACTCAATACTTCTTATCCCCATTTGTGTGTGTAGCAGCATTGCAATCCCTTATTGAATCCTAGCTACTGTGGCACTTAAACCCATAGGATACACTGCTGATGTGTAGGTGATCCAGTCCATGGAGACTTCAATCTTCCAAGGCTTCCATTGTCAGGTATGGAATGGTGAAAATCTTATTTGCATACTTTAAGTAGGCAATAGTGGTAAATGAATATAGAACAATATACACAAAAAATACATACCTCACCTAGGGATGCTTGATGATGAGTTAGAGGGGAGACCTAGGGAATAATACTGTCCCTGAATATCGTGATCCAACTGCTCCTTATTCTGTCCCATATGACAGAAGGAAGAGGAGAGAGAAAAGTGACTGTACTGGGGGACTAGAGTACTTTTATTAAACAGCCTGTCTTTCTAAGGCAACGTGTTATGTATATGTTATGGACTGCTGTGAGATGTGTGCCAGTAATGCTCTGAGCCAATCACCAATCTCTGCAGTGCTTTGTTGTTCTGTGCCAAGAATCTGACATACCAAGATGTTATACAACCACTGAGAATAGACTCTATAATGCATCTTTAAAAATGGATCGGTACTGCTGGTGGCATTTGGACCTTCCTCAGACATCACAGGAAATTAATGCACTGGTGGGATTTATTAATGACTGTTGAGGTATGACAACATTTTAAATTGTACAATATTCCCACCGATTGGTATATATGGGAATGTAGGCTACATTTTGCTTCTTCACATCAACGACAAGCTCCTTAATCTTGCTGACATTTAAGGAGAGATTGTTTGTTTTGTTTATTCTTTCTGGAACCTAACCTATGCCCCCTAAGCTGCTCTGCCTGCAAAGTGCACCTGAGTCGATTGGTATAAATAGCAGAATTATTACTTGCACACTGATACAATCACTGGATGGTGGGAAGGATTTATCAAAGGCCAAAAATGAAGGGATCACAGGCGACCGTAAGAAAGGGACACAAAGAATTCAGAGGCATGCATGGGTCCCAATTAGAAAACCTGACACAGAGCCCAAAGTGTTCAGCTGTCTCAAGACTAAATTGCCCTAGAAAGGAAGCTCAAAGTGCTTCCTCTCCACCTTGAAAAGGGGTTAGAAGCACTTGAAGTTCTTGCAGAACCAGAAGCGCTACACAGGGAGGTAAAGCACTTGTAATTGTCTCTGTAACAGACTGCCTTGAAAAGGGAGCACAAATGCTTGTATTCGTATCAGATGTCATGGCGGCACCTCCGGGGCCTACGCACGCATGCTGCCCCGACCAATGAACAGGTGGGCGTGTGCCCGGTGCTCCACCTTGGACAACAGCCACCTGTCAGATCGCAGGGCCAGTGTTTTGGATAGTCAGCCAGCATGTGGCCTCAAGGCTTCACCCACAAAACCCCAGACTGGAGGTAACTCATCATGCCAGGGATACAAGCTAAAGGCTGACACCCAGCATTAGGAATATGCCAGCAACTGTTAGATGAGAATTATAATGGCAAACCTATTTTATTACACTCTGTATTGCCAGTTGGTAGGCCTGCCATGCCCCTGCATTGTTCGAATGAATATATAGAATATAATAAAGTGCAGACTGTCGACTTTAACTAGTTACATTCAAACTGGGTGAATTACAACATTTAGTATATGTACCTCCCCCCCCCGCTCGCTTCACAAGATTAAAAATAATTGCAGAATTGACTGACAAGCTATTTCATGGCCAGGTATGGGCTTTTCCACTAGAGCTGTCAAGATTACCCGACAAAACTTAATTACTCGATTATTAAAAAGCATCATTTAGAATTTTCTTAATCGATTACTCAGCAGTATGGCAGAAGCAAAACAGTACATAGATGTTGAGGGCCCAAATAAAGAGCAAAAACATAATATGTGTGGAAACACTTCACATTAAAACTGAATGAATATGCAGTAGTCTTCAGCATTAGAAATCAGAACTTAAATATACGACTGCAATGCAAATACACAACGCATGCAGAGCTCATGCAAAAGCAGCAGCGGTAAACTGTAGATTGATACTTTTTAAACCTATACTAGATAATGTTGAAAAGGAACCATCATTAAACTTGCAAAGCTTGCTAAGTTTGGTTTTCTGTGATTGAGTAAAAACGTTTTAGCGCAACTTATTGATGGTTCGAACCCAGCAGACTATCGCAATCTTTACTATGTAACAATTTGCATGTACATAAAATGCTATGTTGATATTAACATCACACATCATTTCCTTCCATTGCCCAAAACCATGCAACTTAAATGTATTGGAGTACCTAAATTGACTGTGTGACTCAATGTGCACCAATTGCAATGCATGTTATATATTACAAAATATTACTCGATGAATCTTCAGATTAACCAGCAGATTACTCGATTATTGATAAAACCAATAATGGCAGGCCTATTTTCCACATTATTTCATTCACAATTAAACAGGTAAAAGGTCTGGATTTGAATCCATGGGTGATTATCAATACCAAGAATACAAATACTTGTATTTTGACATCCAAGAGCAAACTTGGGACACAATGAATCATGGGATTTATTCTCATTGGTGAGGATGCAACCAATGCATCCTTAACATTTGGGGCTGAGTAAGAATGACATCTGGGGAATTTTACCATCTTCCATACTTCTGATCTTGAGTATTGGAACTACTTCAGCAATGGAAGATGACATCAAACATGTATGGGAGAACACAGGAATGGTGAAGTATTGATACTGATAAACATCCTACAAGTGGAATTTCTATTTGAAAGCTGTTGCGGTGAACTCTCAATATGAGGTCCAAAGAGCTGTCACTGCTAGTAAAGCAGGCCATCATTAGGCTGAGAAAACAAAACAAACCCATCAGAGAGACAGCAGGACCATTACAAGTGGCTATCAACAATGTGGTACAAAGGAAGGAACACAGTGGTGAGTTCAGTAACACCAAAAGGCCTAGTTAACCACAGAAGACAACAGAGAAAAATGTTCACAGAATTCTTTCCTTGGTGAAAACAACATACAATAGGGGAAAGACTACAATGTATGTGTGCTCCCTAGGATTTAACACACTTTAATACACAAGCTCTACTTGTTGAGCTACAGGAGTATAAGTTAACCATTAAGAGAAGATTTCATGAAAGTAAATACAGGGAGTTAACCACAAGCCTGAAGAACAGGAAGGCCAGATTGGACTTGCCAGAAAACATTTTTCAAAAGCCTAATCTGTGGACAGATGAAAGAGCAACCTGTACAAGAATGTTGAGAAGAGTATGGAGAAGGGAAGGAACGGCTCATGAACTGAAGCATACCACATCATCTGTGACACATGGTGGAGGCACCTAGTGTTATGGCATGGGCATGTATGACTGCCAACAGAACTGGGTCACTAGTGTTTATTGATGATATGACTGCTGACAGAAGCAGCAGGATGAATCCTTAAGGCTATAATAAGGGTACAGTATCTGCTCAGATTCTGCCAAATGCTGCAAAACAGATGGAATGGCGCTTCTCAATAGAGATGAACAATGATTGTCCAAATACGTATGGACCTAAGTATATGTCCTATCACAATACAGAAGGGATGGGTGCCTAAATGATTTAATTTGAACATGTGCATGAACTTTAAAGGTACTGACTGTCCATTTGAGTACAACCCTGCTCTCAAGTAAACCAATTTCCTTCAGATTTTATATGTCAATCAGTCCAGTAATGGTAACGCATATTATATTCCTAAGAAGCATTAAAACTGGGTAAGACCGCGGTTCAGTGGTTGTTACTACAGCCTCAAATTTCTAGGGATTGATTCCAATACCTGGCTCAATATGCATGGAATGACCATGTTATCCCCTAGTTTGCATATAACAAGCACTAAAGTGAATTGGTGAATGGCCCATACTGTTTGACTACATGCCAATGGATGAACTGGAATACTGTCCAGATTGCCCTCTTCCTTGAGCCCAGGTACACGCCAACCATGAGCCTATACTGGAAAACTGAGAGATGGATGAAACATTGGTTGCACAAAGGCATCATCTTTTTTTATGAGAAAACTATCAGAAAAAGTAGCAGAAGTCTTTATTAATGCTGCAGAGTGGAAACATGGGCATTCACAGGGCATATCACATGTCCTAATATCCTCCATCTTATATTAACCTTACCTTCAAACATGAGGAGGCAGCCAATCAAAAACAGAGCTTAAGCTGTGAAGCAACAGTGCAAGTAAGAGTTTTATATTATCTAAACAGAAAGCTAGTGTGCCCTCTCACTCAGTCTAGCTATATTGGTGGGTCTCCCTTGAAAATGAATGTAGGTGATTTAGAGCATGGTTCAAATGTTCTCCCTCTTTTATATAGGTTTGGGTTTCCTCCCATGGTATGCAGATAAGCAACATGGCATCTCTAAATTCTCCATAATAGTAGATCTAATATTAGTAGAATTAATAACCAGAATAATGGAGCAACAAATACTTTTTTTCCTTGAACGAACTGCAGTTTTTTATAGGGTGTCACTGAATCCCAGGCACACTGAGCGACCTCTAGGCTTTTAGGCATTAAAACGAGTTCATGGGTACGTCAAACATTTCTGCGCTCCGCAGGAACCAATCGCCTGTCGTCTGAGGGGAAGCGCTCTCAGGACGTTGCGCTTTCGCTGATTGGACGCGTGCGTCAAAGAAGAACCAGTGAAAAGGACGCAAGGTTTTAATCGTATCTTCAAATGGGTTTCACTCGGACCGCCATTTTCTTAGTCCCGCCTGTAAGTAATCCAATGGAGGAATTAAACCGAAGATATTTGCGTGTGAATCACAGTAACGAATTGCCAGTTGAGTGACATACGCCTCACTATGTCCAGCTGTATTTACTGGCTACGTTTGATACCCCTTGGCCGTGCGAACATTTTCTCGTTTTGTGAGTGAGGGCTTTTTTCTTCCGAGTTATAGATACATGTTTTTTTTAACCATTATAGTATTTAGCTACATACGTTGAAATTGTTGAAAACATGAATGAAAGTGAATCGCTGGTAATCTAAAACCACTGCTGTATATTATTTTGAAGACGTGATATTTTTATAGACATACGCGCTGTATTTTTTACTAGTGCCACAATTAACGGTTAATTGATAGTGTCGATATTATCTATTTAAGGCACTAGTTAGCATTTCTGTGTTCGCTCGTTCGTATGCAAGCTGTTTGGCTCGTTGCATAAACGTAGCTATTACGTTTCTGAATGTTTATAGGCCGTAATGACCAAAAAAAAACAGCTATAAATAACCTGAAAAACAGACGATCTTGATAGGCGAGGAAATACGGTTATCAGTACAGAACTGGTCACATTACAACCTCACGGAGAAGTCTAATAAAAACACTGTATCCTTATGTAATCGTTCGTAGAGGTTCAGTCTCGGCGAATAACAGGTTAGCTACGTAGCTGGAGGTTTGTTGTCCTTTATTTGCGGTTTAATATCTAACTCTGCTAATTAGCTAGCTAAAACTAACATTATTAGTAATCTGCATGTTCAATAATATAGACGTTTTTGTCTGTATTATCGCCAGTTTCCACAAAATGGATCTTCATAAGATTATTCAAGATACATTGAATGAGTTCATCCAGGCGTGTATACCAAACGCAGATTTAAGGTAAGATAACTGACCAAATGATCCGTCTTAAGATCTCAGAGTTATGCTACTTGCAGTGTTACGTAATGTAAACATCTTGCAATGGCTTTGCATACGTATTTAGTGTGTAATATACATTTTTCTGTGCAGCTTTCTGGATGACGTGCTTCTTTCCTACATCACTGGTGTGCTGGAAAACTTGGGCTCTCAGGACAGTATGGAGGAAAACTTTGATGTAGATGATTTTGTTGAAATGCTAGAAGCATACATTCCTGGCTTTGCTGAAATCGAAGGGTTAGAATGCTATTTATATAAATTATACCGTGTGTTTGAAATGTTGCCCATCTTTTTATTCTTTAAAGGTAAATTAAGAAAACACAACATGACAAAACACATTTTTGGTGGCCAAGAGTGTAGTTCGAGAGTAACAATTTTACCCACTACAGCATCTATGGATGAAGATTTTAATGAATCATTAAATTAGCCTTTGAAACTTCATTCTCATGATGCTGGTTATGCTGAAAGTGTTGTTACTTAATCTCTTAATTGAATGTAGGTATAACTTATTATCTTTTTCCCAGGGTAAAAGTATGTGAGATGATATTTCACTTGGCGTCAAAACTAGCTAGAGCACGAGGAGAAGGTAAGTTTCAATATTGTGTAACTGGCAAACAGTGAATGATATGGTGTAAAATACAGATACTCCTCACTTGATGACCAAGTTCCGTCTCTTCGACTAGGTTAAGCGAATTGGTTGATAAGCGAGGAGATACTGATATTTCAAGCATACTGTACTGGTAGTGGGTTTGTGTCAACCATCTTTAGATATTGTTTTAATGTCACTTGCACCATTTATATAATTTTTTTGTATATTTGTAGATGTTTAAACAGTAGTGTATTGTATACTTTAACAGTGTACTGTTCCCGTTACGTGTTTTCTCCGTATGTGACAGGTGAAAATCTGTGAGTGATTAATTGTAATAAACACAGAAAAGACTTCGGAGATCTATCTAGGATAGCAAATTTACAACAAGCTGGCTGATAAGTGCTAGCGTTAATCAACAGAATTACAGATAAATGATATGCTAAATATATAGGCATGTATTGCAAATTAACATCACTGCAATCCAATGAATCACTGTTGGCGTCCTTTTGCACATTACCGAACTAAAACGCATAAAAAATAAAAGTTCCTTGTACATATTGACTAAGTTTTGAAACAATTAAACTTGTAGCCATTGCTTTCAAAGATGTAGCAAAGGTATAAGACACAGGAAAACTTTAATCTTTAATGCATGCCTATGCTTTGCGTGCAACTGGAGGTTCCCTATCCCACAATACAAAGCATGTGCATCAAGCTACATGCAACATTTCAGAATAAATGTCGATCGCAAGTTCAGTGTAAATTGATACGGCATATCAAAATAAAGGTCAATTATTGCAAACAGTACACAACCTTCCTTCGGTGACCCGAATAAATCAGAGAGCAGAACAAACAGAATAGAACAGAAACACCGCACTGCCATTTCCACGCCCAAACTTCTCTTACAGTGTACAATACCAACTGGCTGGAGAGCTGGCCGTAAGTCTGGGTGGTCATTAAACAGGTAGGTCATTCAGTGAGGAGTATCTACTCATAAATTGTTTATATATATATTGCTTTTTCATACTTTTTGGTTCACATGCATATATAAACTTTAAGCTTTGAGTTTGAACAGGGAAGGCAGCTTGCAGTGACTGAGTGCATTACATTTCAAAGTATTTCTTTGTTTGTTACTGCTTAAAGTTGGTATTTCGATGCTTTTGACATGATATTCTTTGTATCTATTTAAAGACAACGGCCTACCAGAGATGGCGATAAAGGAATCATATTTAAATGAAAGTACTGTCTCACCTCATGGGATTTCCATGCACGAAACGCAGGGCCTTTCAACAATGGAAGAGGGAGCTACAGCTAAGGTATCCGCCACCGATTGTAAGAGGTTAAGCCAGGGGTGAGCAATCTTACCCGCAAAGGGCCGGTGTGTATGCTGGTTTTCGCTGCAACTCCCTAATCAGGTCACTAATTAGAGGACTGGTTGGCTGAAGAGTCCTCACACCTGGGTTTGAACAGCTGACCTAAAGGTCATCCCAAAAACCTGCATACACACCGGCCCTTTGCAGATAAGATGCCCACCCCTGGGTTAAGCAGACATTACTTATTACCTGATTATTGTATAATTCAATAAAATATGATTAAAGCAGTAATGGCTTAATGGTGTCTTAAGTTACTCATATCTTAATAAAATGTAGTTTGCAACATTGATGGGGCTAATTACTGTAAGGTTTCTTCTAGGGAATATCTGAGTTCACAGGTATGAAGAATGATAATATGAGTTGTAGGTGGCCAACCATATGAGGAATATAACATTAATCTGTATTAATTCCTCTGGAGTAACTTTCAAAGACAGTCTTAAATAGGTGGAAAAATTGCTTTCCTATTTCCTAATGGCAAAGGCTGACAGATGTCCAACAATAATATAGTAATTGCTGTGTTTGAGACCGAAATCTCATTTTGGTAAACCCTTACAAAATAATCATAATGCTTTGGGCCATTTCTAGATTTTTTATATTTTTTTTCTTCCCTTTTTTGAATCTTAGTAGTGACCTATACGCTTTTGAAGAAATGAAATTCTTTTAATTTGAAGTTTTTGGTGGCATGCCCCAGTTATAGTGTAATATTTCTATTTAATTGGGATGTTCTTTAGGAAAGGCTTATGCGGAGGTGAACATTCTTAAAAGGATAAAAATTCCCAAAGACTTGTTTTAGCAAAAAAAGCAGTATTATAAATGTCATACGACTAGAATGCGACATGTGGAATGGAAAGTTCTTCAAAAGTAAAACCTTAATATGATTTGCTGTGTGTTTTTAATTTATATGTAGGAGAATAGTTTTGGAGGAGATGTCCAGATGCAGCAACTCCTTGAGATGTTCCCTAAATGCAGTGTGACAGAGGCCATGGGTGCCCTATCCATTGCCAAGGGAGATATGGAGGAAGCTGTTCGGCTCATCATAGAGGGAGATGTTGAGCTCCGTCATGACCATCCTCTTAAAGTAAGTTAACCCATAATTCATTCCCCCTATGAGAAAAGGTCATCATTTTTATTGTGATTGACTTCAATTGTGAAATTCACCTGTGTGTTTTCACTGTTTTGTCAGTTTAGTAGTGAAGTATTTCTAGTCATTTCAATAGTGCCAGCCATTTATCCTGGTTTATGATAGATCCAGGAGTTATGGAATAAAACATTAACAAGTGCATTATTGCCACTTTAGGGTTTCTAGATTCCAGAAAATGGATGCATCGCATTTTATATATTTTTTTCTTAATACTTTTTGCCGTACTATCGTGAAGAAGAAATAAGAATTTAGCATAATAAAATATGATGGTCAATATAGAGGAATGTGAAGAAAAATATCCAGATTTTTGTCCAATGTTATGTTTTTAACAGGTGAAACATTGTAAAGCTGTTTCACCACAAGCTGATGATAAGTTGAAGGCAAGCATTCTTGAAAAGTAAGTTTAATCTTGTTTATGCGTGATTAATGGTTCTCTTCCATTCATATATTATTTGTTGATAACAACTGTAAGTCCAGAAGGATAATGTGGGAGGGCATTAGTAACCAGTGTTTTCATGTCATTTTCAGAAGTAATTGCTGTTTTCCTTTAATTGGTCTCCCTAATTGCAAGTTAGACCCAATAATAACTGTAGGATTCATAACTGAGTTTTGACTTTCGTGTCCATCGAACTGGCAGCTTTATTTTCTTCACTTTGTGTAAAATTCATCCCATCCAGTTCCATCCCCCCAATAAACATGGTGCTGTTTATTACAACCATACAGTCCCACAGTTTAATAATGTATTCTTAAGTTGCTCTTAAATGTTTTTTTCTTCTAGATATATGTTAATAGATGATGAGGAAGATAAGAAAATTCACAGGCCTGTAACACCCAAAGAAGTAAATCATTTTCCTGTTAATCTTTTGGATGGATGGATGGATGCATGGATGGATGCATGGATTGATCGATTTGATTTTTCTGATCAATGTCCAGACAGATACAATTACGTATAATACTAGTGTGTACTGATAAATGCTACATTCTGCAGTTCAGTAGGATTCAGCAAAAGATTTTCAGAGCCTGTATATTATAACAGTATGAAGATTTTCACAAAGGAATTTAAACTGAGATTACATTGCTTGATCCCTGATTGCAATGTTGCCTTTTATGCAGGCTCCCAAAAAACTGGTGCGTTATCATGGTGGTCAGGTGGTGACAACCAAAGGGGAAAAATATCACCAAGTCAAGAATGAACAGACAGAGGAAATGAAGAAAACTTACATCAGTCTTAAACCAGCACGCAAGTATAGATTCCATTGATATCTAGGAGACTAGATGGTTTTCTGGGTGTCATTCACATTTCAGACAAGGTACCATAGCAAATTAAAAGTTTTCTTTACTGTGGTGGTGTTTTATCTTTAAAGACAAACAAATCAAAAAGGTCATTATTGAACATGTGAGTGCTTTGTTCATGAGATGACTAATCCATAATTTCACATTCCTGTTAAATTTTAAAAATTTTAAATCTCCAATTTTAAACTTTTATTCAAGTCTTTGGTGTACCAAAGTTACTGGTTCACTAATAGCATTTATCTGCCAAGGTAAAAAATAGTAAATCATTAAATCCAGTGGTTTACCATGGTACCATCATGATTTCAAACCAGAGTAATTCTGTGTAATCTTATAATAGAAAGCCTAATGCTAATCTGGGCCAGATTTATTTTTTTCTCCTGTTTTTGTCTAATTTTTTTTTATCTTGTTAGGTTGTATATTTTAGATTTACCCGAATGACCTTTAAGATGCATGTTCTTTATTTTTATATACATGTGTATTAAGGGTATGTATATATGCACTGAGACATTTAAAAATAAGCGAAATGTTATATAAGATATTTAAGAACCAGAGAAATGTTGTAAATGTCGAACTACATCTTTTTAATGTATGTTCTCTTGCAATAACTAGTCTCACATGGTTCTAGTAGCATTTTATTGGTGGTAGATGTAATTTGGTTTTGTATTCTATTTTTTGTTGAGAAATTGGAATAGATGTGTGTGTGTGTGTGTGTGTGTGTGTGTGTGTGTGTGTGTATGTATGTGTGAGATATATAAAAAAAATTTAGGTAAAGGTCTTTTACCTCATGAATATTATGTATGCACATCAGTGACCGGAAGGTATTGTTTTTTTATTAATGAATTAATTTTTTCATTATTTGTCATTTTTAATTTTTGAATTAAAATGGCTTGTTTGCATATTGGCAAGCTAAACATGAAAATAAAAAAAATGCGTGATTACTTGACTTTCAGAAATTTGGAAATGTAACCAAGATTATATTAGTGGAGGGAGTGGACATTTTTGGGTAACTTTTTGTTTTCAAATTGAATAGTCAACTTAAAAAGGATGCTGGGTATCCTCTGTTATAAATATGGATTGTGATTCAGAGACATTATAGAAGAATGGTTTTAGTGGGTAGGACTGTGTGACCTCACCACTAGATTTGTGGGTTCAGTTACTGAATTACATATGTTTCACCTGTTCTGGGTGGGCTACCTCCAAGCATCCTCTTGATACATCTTTGATCTTTGGGCTGCGCTGTCCATCTATTCATGTTCCATACCACTTGCCTAATAGGCTGGTCTAAATTAACAATAGTCGTCATTTTCAATTAATACTTTCCCATCCACAGCCGGGTTTGTTGTCTTTGTCATTACTTTTAATTTAAGAATTAATATCAGCTGAATGTTTCCGATGCAAACCGCTTTCCCATTAATTTTATCATAGCTGTGAAAAGCAAAGATGGAGCATGCTTTGTGAGATTCATTGAAATACAATCTATTCATCAAGCATCAACTAAATTTAAACAAGGCCTTGTGGTCTTATTGGTGGAACTCCCACTATGTCCATAATGAAATGACTACTGACACTAATCAACCTGTGGGTGGCACTGTTCATCCATTCTAAAACCATACAGCTTATCTAGTAAATGCATGTGGTGAGGCTGTAGACTTTCCCAGACAGTGCAGAGGAACATCCTGGATTTAATAGACCTTAAACAGGCCATGTACTCGCATCCAATGTTCACTTAATTGCATGTTTTTGGACAATGAGAGGAAGCCCATGTAAACTTGATCTCCATACACACATAACGAGGAAAGTAATTGAACCCACAACCCTGCTGGGTAAGGCTACAATTCTAGTATAATTTTAATATAGTACGTGGGAAACTTTCCAAATTAAAATGAACTAACATGATTGGCAACAATATAAAACTCGCAGCACCTCTAAAGATGTAAATGGCTTAGGGCTGTGTGAAAGTATAAAGGTTTGTATAACTGTTTAATGTGATTTTGAATTGCTGGAGGTAAGACGGTTAATGGTTAGACAGGGATATAAGCAACATTCCCTCATCAGAGACAGAAAACCGGGTATCGATGCTGCCTGCCTCCGTGGCATTCCCTATTATACTACAGAACATTTCTGCAGTTTGTCCTGTTATATGTTGTAATTGCTGTTGAAGTAGCTGGTTCTCTGCAATAAAGTCATCTTATGAGGTCAATGAGAGATGCTTAAGTATCTGACAAAAAAGTAAAATGTGTGTGGTATATTCATACAGCCCCTATGGCAAATGTGAAATTGAAAAAAATTAGTGTAAAGTTTCTTGTGGTCCTGACCAGGAAAAGTGGTTAGAAAATAGGCATATATATATGTTCGGAGAATCGGTATCATCTCTGTTGACCTTAAAATATGTAAATGAGTACCCCTGTGTTATTTTCTTAAAACCATTCAAAGGAGTTTCATATTTATATTACTTTATCCCCTTTTATTTGAACAATAGCATACACGTATAATGAAAAACAGGTTAGACAGACCATATTGAAATTACAGACTTGAGACTAAGTGAAACTTTAGTACATCCAAGCTAATTGCATAAGGCCTCTTAAATCGTTTCACCTACACTCAGATAGTTGGTTAAGTAAGTATTCAAGACAAGCCGTTAATGCCACGTTTATCTCAATATTATGTCTTATGGGCTCCTTTTAATCCATTATAGCTCAATATGGCAAGGCCATGTACGTAGTGTGTAAAATAACATGCATGATACATGGTTCTAATGCCACAGTGAGAGAACATAAGAATACACTTAATCTGGTATGGCACATCTGCCACAAGATATAAAGATGTGATTAGGAGTTTGACCATTCTAAAAATAATTCAGCTAAATCACAACCACAATAGTCAACTAGATTTCAGGCAATACATAAATGAATATCCTCTATTTTTTTTAATGATTAATCAGTGCCACACTGTGTGTTATGAATACAAATGATAAATATGCCAAATATACTTAAGTGAAAATTGAAAAGTAAAAAATTTACTTTATTTGCAGTCATAACATTAATGGTTTTCATTCTTATGTCCAGTAAGAAACTGCCAGATCCCCCGCCTATAGTGTTCATTTCCAAAGGCATACAAGTAGGCATTGAATGTAGGGGATGTTTTTGCTAGAAGAGGAGGCACCTAGAAAAAAAACAGAAAAACAATATATTTGAAAGTATAATTATTAAAAACAATATACACTGCCTGGCCAAAAAATGTTTAGTTGGACGGCATTTAGCTTTGATTATGGTGCACATTCGTCAGTGCATTGTTTCCATATGCTTATGCAACAACTCAACATTTTTTTCCATCCAGATTTGCATTAATTTCCCGTCGAGATCTTGTATCAATGATAGGCGAGTTGAACCACTCCATAAAGTCTTCTTCAGCGCATCTCAAACATTTTCAGTGGGGTTAAGGTCAAGACTCTGTGGTGGCCAATTCACGTGTGAAAATCATTCCTCATGCTCCCTGAACCACTCTTTGACAATTCGAGCCTATGAATCTTGGCATTATTGTCCTGGAATATGCCAATGCCATTAGGAAAGAAAAAAAATCCATCGATGGGATGCCCCGGCCAGTCAGGAGATTCAGTTGCTCAGCTGACTTCACTTTTTTGTGGCATAATGTTGCGGAGCTGTAATAATGATCCAATCATCGGCTCTTAAGTACTTACTGATTTAAATTCAAATGCTGACAATTTTTTTGGCCGGCCAGTGTATGTCATGCATTATAATATTGTAAAAAGTATAATTACCATTCTCAGCCTAGGTGACACAAGAGTGGCATCTTCAAAAGCAGCATATAAGGACAGCACTGCATATGGAGCCCAGCAAAACAACAATGTCTTCACGGGAGTGTCAGGATTAAACTAGAAATGAATGACAATCTGGATTGACCTTGAAACAGTCAAATAATGTGCTTCATGTATTTCTTTATTTTTTGCAATTAGAATTTTTATTGAGCTAATAACCAAAACAGCACATACATATAGGTGTGGTTCTGCAAGAACATCACATATTCCAGTTAAAATTTAAAAGTTAAAAGCAATGCTCTTTTTCTGCAACAAAACCAATGGAATTCTTTATTACTGACGTTGATTCAGGTTAAACAAGCAATTGTCTCAAAAATTATTTTAGATGTTGCTGTGCACTAAAAATGCTTGTGTCTCCTAAAAAAGTTATGCACCAGTGACAGAACAGCACTCAAAAAGCAAACAGTCTTACCTTATATTGGCTGGTCTTCTTAAATTTTCTTTCAATTGATTGGTAAGAACTCATGACAGTGACAGTTTGTATAAACAGATTGCAAATAGCCATTGAGAGCATATAGGAGACGTAGTTCCTAGAGGAAATTCAAAACACATTACGTTTCAATATGGCTTAATTTCCAAAATGATATTTTAATCAAGCTCACTTAACATTGATACAAGGCTCTTAAGATCTTAAGTGTTACTATATTCTTCTGATACTGTTTTACAACGTGCTGGCTGGTGTACCTGTCACCTTTGGAGTAGTCCAGAGTACAGCATGTTCTGAGGGGCTCATAGGCATATTCTCCCCATCCAAGTAATGGCATGGCAGACCAAAATCCAGTAAAACACCAGATGAACACGACCAGAGTGATTACATCACTCCATTGTAACTTTGTTCCTAAATGGAACATTGGGGAATTAGGATATGATAAGAATTCTTAATTAAAGGTTATCTAACCCTTAAAATGTCTATGCTTCCGGTTTCTCTGTGCATTATTTTCTGTGGTTCTACTTACTTGTACAGTATTGATGGTACCTGTCCCAAGCAATTGCAGCAATAAAATTAATGCTAGCAAGGGCAGTTAAAAATCCTTGAAAACCATGAGTCTGACATCCCTCTGAACCATATGGCCAATATCTGTGGAACTCAAGTAAACGTGTTAACAAGCACTTAATGGAATGAGCTGCTATTTCATTACTCAGATTTAGAAAAAATCCGTAAACAGCAATTGTATTTCACTGACATATGTTAAGTAGCTTAATAGATTTATGTTAAAAAAAAAAACAAACAAAAAAAACATTAATTACCAACATGGATATCTGAAAACTAGAAAAATTACAATTTGTACAGTTTTATCAAAAATACTATACACAGGAATCAACATTGTATATTGTATAATTTATGATCATTTCTTTTAAACAGCAATAAAAAGTCTTCAGTTATTTTTTTTTTACCCCAAAAAGCTTGAGAATGCTGCAACAGTTGCATTTATGCAAATTCCAATGTCAGCCATAGCCAGGCTAAACACTAGAAAGTTACTTGGGGTTCGTAATTGTCGTATTTTGAAGAAAGAAACAAATGTGAGAGCATTGAGAGAGAATCCCACCAAACCTTAAAAATGAAAGCAGAAGAAACCATTAAAACATCAAGCATTTAAACTGCATATTAAAACTGATGAACTGATATATTTCACTACAAAGTTTTTCAAGAACTCAGTAATAATTTGACTATTAATTATGAAAATGTACATCTTTCTAAGTTCTTTTTTGCCAGTAGCTTACCTTCAAGAAAAAGAGTACATCCTATTGAGAAAACGTCAAAGTCACTGAATCCCTCAGGTAAAGTCACCATTTTGTTTTTGACAAAAGTGTTTTTAACAAAACTTTGCAGTTTGATAATGCATCACCGTTTGACTATCTAGTCTGTCTTGATATCCCATAGTATGTTCATAAGAGGCTTTCTTTTAAGGGGCCTTTTAACGGGAAAGCACACACACTGTTAAGTCCCAAAAAGAATTTTAATGAATATGACTGAACAGCTAATCCAATTAGCACATATAATAAGGCAATTGTGTCCTGGAAGACCAGTGTTACCTAATCAGTTCATGTTTTTCTGGTATTATATTTAAAATACCATATGTGAATTTTATTTTTCATTAACGGAAGTTCAAGTTAACCTGAATAACATGAATTCACTTTAACCATACAAATACACTCTCCTGCAGCATCATTATTCTAGTTATGACACATTTGTTCTTCAGCTATTTAAGATAAAATGCTCTATATATATACACACACTTTAACACAGTGAAAAAAAGTTTCATTTCTTTGTTATTGTTGTAATTGTGGCATTCTAAGAATAGGCATTTAATTGCATTGAATTAGAAACAATGGTTTCATTGTTTATGAAGCTCTACCCTGCCCACATGATAATAAGATTGTGAACCATGGCAAAGCTACAAAAAATGATTAAAATGCCATAGACAAGTTTTCTTTCTTTTTATTAGTAATTTTTATACTGTGAACATTTTTCACAGAGTCTGGAAAGGCCAATGTATTGATAGCATGTTCACATATTTCAAATACACTTTATGTAGTCTTTGTTAATTAATTAAAGTTGAAAACAGAACTCCGTAATCTCTTCAACATGCTTTAGCCTCTTTGGAAAAAGGGTAAGGCAGAATCCAGTTCAGAAAAATACAAATATTACCTCACAGCAGGAGTGTTGCAGAAAACGTGACGTGAGACCGTCTAGGAGGGTTTGGAGTCTGTTAAATACATCATATTTTATATATAACAAAAACTGCTCATTATGTTAGTAACATGCTAACTCAGGAATAGGTCTCTGCTTAGGCAAATATTCAAGCTCCTATAAGTGTAATTCAACAGTCATCCAGGAACCTTCTGCATAGCGGCAGCTGCAAGCCACTAATCACCATGAACAGAGAGTGAGCATTATTGTTGCATTCTATTTGAAGTTGGAAGTAAAAATTTCCGAGTTCCTAGTCAAAATTTCAAATGGAACGCCCCCTGAGGTTGGAGTTCCGACTTGGAAAGTCAGAGGAACCTCTAGAACAGGGGTCTCCAACTCCGGTCCAGAGAGCTACCGTCCAGTAGGTTTTCTATCATACCTGGCTTCTGATGAGCCACACCTGTTCTCGGGTAAATAACAGGAACAGGTGTGGCTCATCAGAAGCCAAGTGGGACAGAAAACCGACTGGATAGTAGCTCTCCAGGACCGGAGTTGGAGACCCCTGCTCTAGAACCCCGACTTCAGAATTCAAGATTTACATCAGAAGTGAAAGCTGTAGTTATGCACTGTTTATTAGCACTTCTGTGTGGCTCATTAAATCGGTCGTACACACACTGTCCAACTACTGTGGACGTTGCAATGGTGTTTGTTTGCGCAATATACCAGGCAATGTGTTATCAGCTGGTATTGCTAACAATAGCTAGAACTGGGGCCTGTTTCAGAAAGCAGGATTTTTTTTGCTTGGCCAGATTGCTTATCAGATTTAAGGTAGTCTGGGATAAATGTAAGTGAATGAAGATTAAGGTTATTTAAACTGGGGTACCTTAAATCTGACAATTTATCCGGTAAGCAAGAGCCTCCAACTTTCAAGGTAAATGGAATGCAGCATATCTTCCCTGGCATAGCTAAAATCTAAATCATGTAGGAGAGAGGAGAAAGCAACCAGTAAGCCGGTTGGACTGCAACCACCCAATTTGAGGAAGATGTATTTTCAAGAACAATTTAAGTTTGTTGGCTGTTCTTAGACATGCCCTTTTGCAAATAAAATGAATGCCTCAATTGAGAACTGTGCCCCTTTGTCAGACACAACAGTCTCTGATGTCGCAAGGTAGACAAAGGCTTCTTTGATCGTCTGAATTGTAAGTGGACCTGAGCAGTCTTTCTTCGATGTACCATGAGGAGTAATCCATGATTAGCAGGCAAGTCTTCTTGGGCCACTCAATCGGATCCATCTCTATATTGTATTCTGTGTTTCCAGCAGACTTTACATCTCTCTATTATTTGACCTATCAGGGAACAGATAGACTCCCTAAAATCCCCTCAAGGGACCTCTGTAGTTTCTCCACTCACAGAGATGGTAGCATTACTAATCCCTCTCCTAATAGTATTTATTAAGCTCGATAACCTCTTTTTTAAGTTTGTCCATAGTACCTCTTGGTGTCTGTTAATCCTCTTTATACATGTCACTGGCCAGCCTGATATCGAGTACAAACAGCTGATGCTAAACCTTGTCTCAGTTGTGTTAGAGCACTGCACAACCATGTTTCGAGGGCTTAGTTCCCATCTCACCTTCCGATTTGCGTCTCTGCCCAAATCCATTCTATTCTTCAACCATTCTTTCAGTAGTTTTGGGACTGGGTCCATCTGAGATAAACGTTTTGCCAGGCAGTTTCACAATGCCTCTGAAATAATGAACATCTGTCAAGCAGGTTGTCATCTGCAAAATTCTTATCAGCATCAAGGCCTTAGACCTGTTGAACTGGAATCTCCCGAAAGGAATGATTAACGTTGAGGGGTCATGACTGGTAATCTGGAAAATCTGGCAAAATCCATACTAGGCATATTTTTTTTTTGGACTGGCAGAATATGGTAGTCTTGTTACACTGCTGCATTTTGGGGTAGAAATCCTAATCTTCTTACATGGGCTTTGGGATGGCAACTATATCTGAAGACCATTCTGTCACTTTTGTGATCACCCCATATCCATATCATTAGCATGATTGACACCAGTATTATTCAGCTTGCTCCCATTGTTGATTTTTATTTTGTTTTTTTAGCTGTGGGGCACTTTGTTCCCATCATGGAAACAAGGAGAGGTCTATGGTTCTTTAAGAGCCCCATCTTTTTAGTGTTCAGAATTCCACCGAACATCCATTACTTGGACCAGTTGGGTTTCCTTGTGCCCCAGTTTCATCTGATTATATCTCATATTTCCAAGGTCCTTCTGGTATCTAGGCACAGCAGCTAACTACATCAATTCCACAAGAAATGCCTCTTTTCCTTTTCACAATATGAAGTTGCAGGCAAATATCCATGAAAGGGCGAGATTTATTCAAGGAAAAATAGGTAAATACACTATATGGACAAAAGTATTGGGACACACTTATTAATCATTGAATTCAAGTGTTTCATTCAGACCCATTGCCACAGATGTATAAAATCAAGCAACTAGCCATGCAGTCAGATTTGTAAATATTTGTGAAAGGATGGGTCATTCTGAAGAGCTCAGTGAATTCATGCATGATACGGTCATGGAATATCACCTTTGCAATAAGTCAGTTTGTGAAATTTCTTCTCTGAGAAATTGTAAGTGGAATTATTGCAAAGTGGAAGTGTTTAGGAACAACTGAAACTCAGCCACAAAGTGGCTGACCAGGTAAAGTAACAGGGCTGGGTTGAGTGAGGCACATAGTGTAAAAGTAGCCAAAGCTCTGTTGACTCAATAACTGCCAAGATTCAAACTTCCTCTGGCATTAATCCCAGCACAAAAACTGTGCACTGGAAGCTTCACAGAATGGGCTTCCATGGCCGTGCAGTTGCATACAAGCCTCACATCACCCAGTGCAATGCCAAGCCCCAGATGGAGTGGTGTAAACCAGCCCGTCACTGGACTCTGGAGTGAAAACATGTTCTGTGGCGTAATGAATCGTGCTGAAATAGGGTGATGAGCAGGAACCTTCTAAGCAGTCCAGTTTTTGCAGGGAGAGAGATCATAAGATGCTTGCACATTTTATTCTCTCGCTGACCTGCTCCCCAGTGCAGGCTTGAAGCTGGACAGGGGAAGACAATGCCACCTTCCATTTGGAGCAAATAGTGGCTGGCAGTCCTTTCCTCTTAACACTCCTTTGTGGTCAACTGTTAGTCAGCCTAATTCCTGGTGGACTGTCACGTTACATAACACAAAGGTTAAAGAAATGGCTGTCCTCTAGGAATCTAATTAGCCAACTCATTAACTCACCCGACACTGCACAAACACATTTAACTACACATGCTCATTCCATCTTAACTTTACAACGAATAGTAGAAGAACATGCTGTTAAATAAGCCTTTAAGAGTTTCAAATCCTGGGACACAAAAGGTTTTCATAGCGATTTGATAATACTCTTGGCCTTAATGAATATGACCAGCAATACTTGAAGGCTTTAAAATAGAGGGCTTTGCCTCTGGCATGGACAAATACAGCCATTTTCTGTCTCTTTTCGATTTCTCTTTAGCCCAGAGGTGTGCGATACTAAAATTCTGTTTGACTAATTATTGCACCATTTTCTGGGGTGGAACTTAAGCAATGGAAAATTAGTGGTCTTACATCAAGTTACACCTGATCAAGTCCCATCCGAGGTACATGGTCAATAATATAAACTAATCTAGAGGTGCCTGAAAGCGGATGCAGTAGGGCGTTAGTGGGTATATCACTGTGTAACAGGTGCAGAAGAATGGGCAGCACTGCCAGCTGTATAATAACCCTCTGTCCAAATCTAACTTGTAATACCGTATGCATACAGTAATGTTTATATGATGGACAGCTACAGTATTGAGATACACACAAATTGACTTGCTTTTGGTGGTCTCGGTTCCAAATGCGAACACAATCCAACACAAGGCTGTTTTTGTTTTCCCGTGACTAGCCACATGATGTAAAAAATGTTCCGACTTGATACAATTCATGAACAATTTAGGTCTTAAAATATGCAATTTGCACAATATGGTTAAAAATCAGCAATACCTGGAAAGACATTAAGTGACAAAGCAATTAACTGCCATTTTTAATTGGGATTTTTGCTAAATGATGGTCAGGAGAGGATTGAAACTAAGTTTAAAAATATATATAAAACACACACAACCTGCAAATTCATATACTCAGCTATATTCATATTATCAACTACCTGATGAATATCAACTACAGGCATTTACAAAAAATCAATCCAGTGTTTTGAAACACATGTGCCTACTTTCCTGGTGAACCAAACAAAACATGTAATATTCATGTAAATGTCACCATGCCCCTACTTTCCTATATCATCTCCAGGTGTTGTCATTTTTAGAAATTTGGATACTGTGATCATTTATAAAGTACTATACAATTTGTAGTACTTTATTTGGTATAACTGCTGCACTATGATGTGTAAAGAGGATCCCAACATCATCATAGTCAATAAATACATTACAAAATGCTACTTGACACTTAGCAAAACTTTCAGGGAGCATTTACATTTTCTAAATATATTCTATATTAAAAAAAAAAAAAAGATTTATGTTAAAAACTAAGAAAAACTGAAAATGGGACCATAAGTTAATACTGAATAATGTGCATTATTCTAACTTTGTCCAATATTTGAACATTAACAAAGCAATATAGGGCATATTTCACTGTACAAAGAAAGAGTCCAATAACACTTTCACAAATTTTGTTTGATTACCAAATTCTGATGCGTATTTTCAGTTTTCAAGCTATATTTAATTTACAGTACAACTCACCCTATACAATAACCATTATTGAAAACATCATTCACTTGTAATATCTTAGCATCATAAATGACATTTTAAATCATACATCAGGAATATTTACACATTTTTGGAATCAAATAAGATGATAAATAGGCAAATGTGTTCAAGTAGTGCATGCACTTGTAGCTTCTACATGCATACAAAAATAGAAATGAAAGCACACAGGGAACAAAACCAATGACAGTGCACTAGCTGAAATTCTGTTCATATCTCCCCTTGATCATTGTGTTCAGTAGAGGTCCAACCTGGGAAAGAGAAGCTTCATATTATTTGTCTGATAGAAGGAGGTGGTAATAAATAATAAATTAACAACAACAATTAATAATAAGTAGTAGTAGACATTCAGAACATTATGATTTAAGACCTTCCATTGCACAGAATTATTTTATTTTGAATGTGCTCTGTGATAAGATGTTTGCTGCCACATTAGTGTTTAGGTGTGTAACACAGTTCAGTATTTTTTGTATATTCTTTCACAGAGTCAAACAGAAAAGGATGTCACAATAAAATACCTAAAATATTTTATAGGATGTCATAAAGCTTAACAGCACAAGAAACTCGAAATGCATTCTTTATCGCAAACAAAACTGTGCTGCTTTGTGAAACATTGCCTCATTCTTTACCTTTATGGTATGTATCACCAAGAACAGTAATAGAATATGCAGTATTATATTTTCATTAATTCTTGAAATTTGACAGCACCATTCAAAGCTGACTAAATCTGATTAAATCAGACCACCAGTGCACTTTCCATATGCTTAGGCAGAAATATGAGACTGGAAATGTACTCTAAGCACTGGCTTAACATGTGTCCTTCGGGAGAAATGTGTAATGAGAGTAGAGAAACAAAGAAGCTGGCCCTTTAATGAGCATTTAATTTAAAAAGCAGCTATACATGGGAAATGGCTAGGCTACCACTGGAATACAAAAAAGTGCTGAAATGAAGATCAGCAGCATTGCATGGTATGATCTCATGTTATTCTTTGAAAAGTAACAATACGATACCGTTCAATAAGACAATTTAAATGTTAAAAGGGTGAATTCTAATTCAATTGTGAATGGGTTTTCCTGGAGGACAGTGGTGTAGCAGGGCTGTTTTGCTAGGGGGTTTCATGATACACACCACAGAGCACATTTATCACATTTGGAGGAAAAAAGGGGGGGGGGCTAACAATTAGAAAAAAAATACATATATTACAAAAATATCTGTGAAACTCAGCTTGGCAGACAACAAAAAAATATGCTGCTGAACTGTAGTTTCCCAATACAATGCAAGTAAACCACAGATTCATTTTTCATGACCATCTTTATCTCTCTCTCTGTGCCTCTATTATACCTACAAGTAAACGGAGCGTATGACACTTTTTCAATAAAAGTTCATGTTCCTTTCTGTGTAGCCATTCATATATTCATTGTCCCTAGAACTGCTCATTCGATGCAGGACCACCAAGATACCGGGCCTAATCTCGGGGCACACAAAGTACAGAGCAGGGTATGACCAGGATGACATGCATATATAGGCCTACACATTTAGGACAATATTAGAGGCACCACTGCACCTAACTTGCATGTCTTTGGAGGGAGGGAGAAAAGCAGAGCAGTCAGAGGTAATTCACACAAACACGGGGAGAACATGCAAGCTTCGCACACACAGAGGGTCGAGCCCTACAGTTGTGTGGCCATAATGCTACTTACAGAATTACTGAATAGCCATTCACATATTAATGTATCAGAACAATGTTTAGTGTTACACACATATTGCCATTAATAAAAGTACTCACAGAATCTGAAAGTGAAAATCATTTTAGGAACTATAGGCATTGTCGCAATTAAAGATATTAATGTCAAGTAATTATATCGTAATACACACACAATAATCCAGTATACATATTATACTATTCTATATTATATTAGAAACTGGTACAACACAGTGACAGGTTATTAATATACACTGATGCTTTATATCTGATCATATACAATTTCATCATATTCCACACTATAGTGGTAGTCTGACAATAAGATTAGGATAAGATTATTTGGGGCTAACCAAGTTCAGACCATCAATTATCTTTGCATTTTGGTCAAATGAATTACATTTAATGATTTTTTTTCTTCCTTGTATAATAAATGGATATATAGTGTGTATCATAAGAATGTATCCTTTGCAAAACACCAACCACTCCCCTCCTTAGAATCAGAATATTTTTATTTTGCTTTTTAGGCCCTTGATACTTCTTAATAAACTGAAACTACAAAATGTTTATAAAAACATAACTGTACCTCATGTGGATTTCCCAAAGCTTCGCCCAGCATTTTCTCTATGTTCCGCATAATAGCCACCTTCTGGTGAGCTTTTAAAGGGTACTCTATCCTCTTTGGAGTAGGTGCTCCCTAGAAGATGGAAAGGACAACTTCAGATAAAAAACAACAACACAGTTTCAGAATTAAATATTGTAAATCAAACTTCCTGCTTCTCTCACTGCAAGAACTACATACCTTATACCAGAAATTGACTGTGATAGTCACTCCTCCATTTAACAAGGACTCAATGTGATGCCACCTGGGACGTTTACAAAACAGAAGAAACATTTTTTAGATGCTAGATAATAACAACTAAACCAATTTTTACTCACTGAGTGCTGCTGTATCCTCTTACCAGTACATTGGGATATACAGAACGTCCCCTGGTCCTACCACAGTCTCATATCCAACAACATTTTTAAATTTAGGAAACCTTTCAGAGTCAGGATTCTCAAAATCAACCTAAAATTATACAAACAAATTTCCAGTTAAAAAAAGTATAAACTCCGCATCATACACATGAATGTACAGTAGGACATGTCTGTGTTATACACTGAGGTTTTACCTGACTCTGTCTGTCGCATGGATGATGAACAGGGAAAGGGTAAAGGCACTCAAACTGATCAGGAGGGAAAAGGATGCATCTTTTGTAACCTTTTATTTGTGCAAAGAAGTTCTGTTGTTCGTCATAATGCGCAGGAGTTACATTCCCTACAAACGAAGAAAAATGTGCTGACATTAATGCTTTATGTGCATCACTAACATTAAACCCTTTACAGGTCACAATCTGAACTATCACACTTATAAAGCAATAAAAGAAAAAAACAAGAAGCAAAATTACACATTTGTTCATGGAGTTATAATTGGATATAATGCCACAATGGAAAACCTATATATTTTACAAAAACCAGCTAAGATTGACTACAGTACATGCAGTCAATGAAACTAACAGGTTTAGTCATAGTCTATTTACATAAGTCCTATTTCTTTGAAAATTTCACTTAATTTTCTGTACACACACACACACACAACCTGCTCTACATTGCAGAAGGAAATACATGTAAAGCTGTTATGGCATGTCATTAGGTCTAAACATACGGTCTTTAAAGATGCAGATTTAACTGTTGCAAAGACTAATACTAAACATTGATCCAATTCAAAAATTGCTTTATATGAATTTTACGTATAATTAAACGAAACATAAGACCAGAATTTAGTCGGAAACAAAATACTTGCATGCGACATATTTTCATTCATATAATAAGAAAATGAATAAAGAAAACTCAAGTGTCCTCTCTAAAAAAAAATGTAAACAAGTAGCATACTTGAAAAACCAAGTGGGTTGTGGTTATTTCTAAACCGAGTTCAGTTCATGACAGTGAACTTTTCAAACACGTTAAAAGAAAAGTCAACTATTTGTTACTATTTATTTCAATGCACTTCGATTTTGCGTTTATCCCTGTTATATCACTCCACATGTTAAATACAAAATTTATCCATATATCACCATGTTATACGGTTGCCCAAGATACCAGTCGCCCAAGCCTAGCACAGACATAATGAGCTTACAGACAGACTCTAGAGACTGAACTGCATGGTCTCTAATTCAGTAACAAGTATATGGAAATGGTGGAAAGTGTGCACATTACCTTCCATGCCTATGAGTAAAAGGTTAGAGGTTAGCTGCCCCCAGTTGTGTTTGGCTTGCTGCTTGTTGATCCAGTTCCAGTTGAAGCCCAGAAAATCCACAACAATTTTTCGTCCTACTGTATCATTCAGTGTCTGCTGCAAGTAAACCCTGAAACCATGAAAACATAATATAGCCATCAAAGGAGCACAGGGTTTGAGATGAGGTACTTAATCCTAATTTTGATTCATTTTAAATGTAATCAAACATTTATGGAGCCCCCCAGTGGAGCCCCAAACAAAGCATAATGCATCTTACAGCAGGGACAACAGGCTTTATCTCCACTATGGGACATTAGCAACCTAGGGTGTGGAGGCTCACAATCACATTGGATTAGGCTGCATTTCTTCTCAATGCCCAGTTACAGCAAGTGAAACCTGCAACTGGTACAGTGAAAAACAGAAGACGATTGACCGCATACATACTGGATGAAGTACGTGCACCTGCTGACACAAGTGTCATGTGTTGAGTGAAATTTATAATGGAGCTTTGTTGTAGGCTGCTACAGGTGAATTAACCCAACCATGTTGTAGTAGGTCCAATGACTCCCCAGCTTTATTAGTCTATTAAAGGAGGATCTTTACCTTAAATCCAAAATAATATCAAATAACATTTTGCCATTATGTAAATGTCCACTCACTTCCTTTAGGTTGTAGTAGGGCTGCACAATATCGGAAAATTTTCAGATATCATGACGTGATTTTGTTTTTTGTGAAACTGCACTATTAATAAAGCAAAAAAAAAAAAACAGGAGTTGAAAATATACCCAAAATAAACTATAACTAAAAAGAACTTATCTACCAACAGAATGCATCAAATAAGTCAGTGGTGTTGATGCCAATCAAAAATATTTCCATACAGGAGAAGGGTAGTATCTTTTATTGACCATCACTTTCAGTTTGCTCCTCTTCACTCATTTTTGTTAAACTCACAAAACCATCACACCATCTCAGAGTGAGTTCAACAGGAAGGACGAAGATGATTATGACTGGCTTGATGAGCGTATGCAGAAGTCATGCAAAAAGAGCGATGGTAAACTTTACACTGATTTAAACAAAAAAAAAAAAAAACGTATACTACATAATCTTGAAAAGGAGCAATCATTAAGATTGAAAGCTTGCCAGGTCTTGTTTCCTATGACAGAGCAAAATGTAGTGATAATCTCCAATTAGCGAATCTTAGGGATTTTGAATTTTTTTCACAAATTGTGAATTTTATCACAGATTTCAAAACACTGGAACTGTATTACAAACCAGCATTGCTTTTGACAAATACCATATACTGCAATAGGACAGTATAAAAAATTAGATACAGCTCAAGTTTAATCTCAACCCAGCTGTCGTGTTCCTTGTGATGTGACAATTACATGCACATAACATGCAACGTCGGTACTAATATCTCACTTCGCTCAGCCCTAAACAATATATAGTGTTTTGGTCTCCAAAAAAAAAAAAAAAAAAAAAAAAAAAAACAATTACATTAAAATATTGACATTTTATATATTTAGGGGATGCTTTTGTCCAAAGAGACATACAAGTGTGGGGAATGGCACATCACAAACATACATGCTGTCAAACAGTCAAATAGGCATAAATGCAGCTAGACAGAGCTTCCGAAGAAGTGCAAACTTCAAGTATTAATTCTCAAATGATCATGCAGGTTCTTCTGATTAAATGATCCAATTTTGCGTTAATGACTACCATGCGTGAAATTGTTAACCAATAAATTAATTTAGCTTAAAGGTCACAGATAAACCGCTCTTTAAAATGTTAAGTTGAAGGAAAAAAGGCCACAGAAACAGCAGAAGAAACTGAGGGGTAATACATTAATATGTATATTAAATATAATTTTACAATTAAGTGAAAGTAATATGATGACATGTTAACAATGACAACCATTTCTCCATAAAATCATAAATACAGATTTGCAGAGAGCCAGAAGGATATCTTTGGAAGCACAGAGTATCACACACCTTGGATGAAAAGCCAACCTACCACAGGGCATGGGTACATACAATTGACACTACAATTGGCTTAAACCACATATGTTGCACACTGACTACACAATACTTAATGACAATAGATGACTTTCAGGAAATCATGGTAATACATTATATAGTTTTTTTTTTTTTTTAAAGTTACACTATAAACATTACCTCTCTTCACCAGCCGATTCTTCAATTTCCTCTACTTTTTCCACAAATTCTGAAAACTTCATTTCTGTACGCCGTGACATTGGTACAAAGTTTTCAAAGTTCACCATTTTTTTCTCATCAAAGTAGAGAAACTTGTGGTTTTGGGCAATATACACTGAAAAATCTCCATTTCCCATGTTCTCCTTCAGGTAGTTCAAGTCCCATTTAAGTGCAGGATACACAAGATTGGTATCTGTTAGGACAACTGGCTCCTGCAAACAGAAAGAATTTCATTGGAAAGCAGCATAATTTTTTTTAGCACTTACTATCTTGTGAGTGTAACTCAGAATGTATTAATAAAACATTAAAAATAATAAAAATTAAAAAATAATTTAAGCTTTTTAGCTGCCAAGTCATCAATACAAAAGCACTATTCTATTTAGCCAAAATTAAAATACTTTAAAAGTTATTGTTTTAAGACAAATTTTCCACACATAGTACACAAGAAATATTTATCAGGGTCAACTGATACTGCTCTGCAAATGAAAATGAAACAAAGATTATTTACAAGAAACAATATGTGCCATTCTCTAGTGGTGCACAAATATGAAAATTTTGGCCAATAGCAATAACCAATACATTTCTGCCTAATATCACCGATACAGATACCCTCTGAGCCACTTGCCAAGCATGGGGTTGATTGGCGTTGCTAAATTGCCCATAGGTGTGCATATGTGAGTGACTGGTGTGTGAGTGTGCCCTGCGATGGGCTGGCCCCCCGTCCAGGGTTGTTCCCTGCCTCGTGCCCATTGCTTCTGGGACAGACTCCGGACCCCCCCGCAACCCAGTAGGATAAGCGGGTTGGAAAATGGATGGATGGATAAATTAGAAGACAGACAATTCGCAGCATGCTCCCTTTAATTTTATTCTACTAGCCAAACTTATTTTTAATTTTCTAATTTCCAGAAGTTCCTTACTTGATATGACATTTAAATTAGCTTTAACCTCTATCAAAGACACATTTAAGCGAAATTCAGATGTACAATTTAGTGGACTACATGCCTAGCTATACAGTAAACTGACTCCGTGGACAAAGCCACTCAATTGATTTAGACACATATAATATCGGTACACTTCATAATTATAAACAAATATATTTAAATGCATTAAGACGCTGAAAAAACAACTTGGCTATACAAATTATTGTAGGACTTATAATCACACCAACTGGAACTGGTTTATACAAATCCTCTATGAAACATTATCACGGTTTATGATTTTTAAATTATCAAACAAAGCCTCCACTAGCTAAACGAGCCCACGTCTGAAATACTAACCACCCGGTGCACATTCATAAGAAAGAAACCGAAAGACAACAGCCACGTACATCCCTGGGTATGTAAACCATTGTCATTGCCTAAAAATCCTGGATTCTAAAATACAATGAAGTTAGCTTACACAGAAACATGTAGCCGGACCTGACCGGCTACCGTTATTTAAAAAGGAGGAGTGTTTCACCTATGCGGCTCGCCACAGTTGCTATTTATGGGCATCTTCCTATCCTGCTATTTCGCTGGGCATTCGGGCAACAACAAGCGACCGACAAATTACCTCATTGTTTATGAGTATCTCCGCTCGGGGGTCGGTATGAGAGAGTCGCGGGATGGGCTTGCATTGAAAAGGGTACTTCCGAAGCTGAGACTCACTCCATGCCGAACTGCGGCCGTCGGAGTCTGCCGTACTGCTTTCGGTGCCTGATGTATCGGCTTCAGGTATCACGGTTGCCGCTGCCATGCCGAAAGGTGTTAGCGAAGCTTTCACTGCCTTAGCCGTGCTGCTAATTCTAAAGAAGTCTCACAAACTTATTTCGAATGTAAATATTTAAGATAAATTTTCAGTTGGAAATGTATCCGGTATTATACGCGGACGATTCAGAAACTTCTGTACGCAGGAAACACAAATGTAAATACATATGTAAATAAGAAGGGACGAATCACGCAGAAGCGTATAAAAGCATAGCGGAAATCGCGACGCTTGCAGTGTTATCGCTACTGGAAAATACTATGACATCTAGCGTACTGAATGATCTATTACAGACTAGTCAAGAAAATTGCGCTGCAGCGATCGCCACTCTAGCTGCAGACGAAATACGGTGGCCGTCGAGTACAAAAGACTTAACAAACGCAGCCTAAAAGCATGCGAAGTGGAATTGAGGGGGAAATAGACAGATACGAAATTAATTAAATGAATATTAAAAGAAAGTCACACGATCTAGGAAAAAATAAATATTAACAGAAACAAAATACTGACTGATTTAAAAAAAAAAAAAGGAGTAAAATAAGGTGCATGTATTTATAAAAATGGCACAAAAAATGAAGGAAAAAAATGAATATCACCAGAGATGGAAAATTCAGATTCAGAAAGTACAAATTCAGACCGAAACAAAACCTTGGTCTGGATTTGTAGTTTCTGGACCCGAACTTTCCCCCTCTGATTATGACATCACTAAGTCACAATGAATATTCACAGCCAGTCTACAACACTTCTTGACTGATGGACCCCTTGTTATCAATGATTGCTCCAAGGTGGCTGTATATAGTTTTCATCATCAACACCAAAGCAGTTTGCTTCATCTTTATCCATAGCCTCAGCTTCTCTTCATATCTTCTTCATTTTTCACTGTTTCCAAGTGTGATGTCTTCAGTGTATCAACACTTGATATTTTTCCCCTGCACTCCTGAGTCTGAGTCTAGTTTTTTCAGCCCAGCTTCTCTCATTATTTGTTCTGTATATAAGTAGAATAGGTATGGTGATGGTATGCAACATTACCTAGTTCCTGTACCAATGTGAAACAAATCCGTTCTCATTTCAGGTACCAGAAGCCTCAGAATACCCAATGAGAGTATATGAGTCTTCAAGCCATGTAAACGACAAGAGGGTGCAAGGGAAAGGTGAGAACAAGTTTCAAGAGTGATATGTTCAACAAAGGACTTACCCGGAGGGCCGTTGTAATGGCCAAGTGGTAGGAGATCAGATTGATGGGATTGAGGACTAAGCTTGTGGACAGATTCGAACATCAACAGTTCCAGGGGCGGAAAGCTAAACCCTCTGTGCAGACCTAAACAGCCGACTGGGCCTGTGACATCAGTTAGCCAGCTCCTGGATTAGAGGTACAAACAAGAGCTTCATGGGATCTTTTCCATAGCTGGTGACATCATGAAACAAATGCACATGCGGATATGACTGCCACCAATTCCTGCTGATAGGGCCACAGATAAGGACTGGAAACCAACCAATCTGAATGCCAGATAATGGTAGCAGCAGTCTCTGTTACTGCAGGACCTTGGAAAAGGGAATAACATGCAACCTTTGAAAGCCAAATCCAAACAAGCCAGTGTGTCCTTGCAGCTGAAGTAGACTAGTGATAAAATCCGTAGAAACATGTAACCAACAGTGTTAAGGAACAGACAGCAGGTGTAGCTATTAGCGGACATATTACGGGCACATGCCATATATAGTTAGGTCCATAAGTATTTGCATAGTAACACATTTTTTGTAATTTTGCTTCTGTACACCACCACAATGGATTTGTAATGTAGCAATCAAGATGTGATGGTAGTGTAGACTTTCAACTTTAATTCAAAGGGTTTAACAAAGTTATAGCTTTCAGAAATTACAGCCATTCTTACATTTAGTCCCTCCATTTTGTCCAGTTACTGTCAAGGCCCTGAAAACAAAGGGAATCACTTGCACTCGCTATTCTCAGGTTCGCCGTCATCCTCTGTGACAAAGTGTCGTAAGAGCACATCAACCTTAGAGAGCCCAACGCACCTGACATGCCTTAAGATGCTTTTGAAACTGTGGTATTGCTGAGATATGATCATGGACATCAACTGTAGCAGGGAAGACCTTGAAGAGTCCCTTCCACTTGCAATCACTTGCCAACGGTATAAATCAGTTGTATTGTCTTACACTAAGCTCCTGATCTAATTGTCACCCCTTCTGTTTGGACAGCTCAGATATTATTACCATTCACCAAGCTCAGTCTCTGTCAAGTTTTCATTAATCATTTCTCAAGTGTCCCCATGATTTCCTCCAATCCCCAAGTGACAAGGACATGGATATTTTTGGGGTCCTAGCCAAAGCAAGTCTTAACCAAATCCCTGGAACAGATACATTATCACAGACAGCATGGATGCCTCATTGCTGCCCTGCAGTCTGACCATTAGATAACTTGCTGAGTCCTAGGCTGCAGATATAGCTGCAACTTGAAAATTAGCCCATTTCCAAAACTTTTCTTTTTCACTGCGTATACTGACCCTGGTCCCAAAATCAGCATTTGAGGATGGCATAAAAGCTTTATTGATATGTTCAAGCAAATAAGTGGCCAAATGTGCAGTAGGACCACAACAGCCAAGAGGAATGAATTTGTTGGAGGATGGAAGCCAGGCAAGGTTGCATGATCTCAACTACACGAAAGTGAGGCGTACCTTCACCTTTTCCCAGGTCCTAGACTCTTGCAGATGATAGCTACATCCAAAGACCCGCAGTTGGATGTCAAAATGGCTCTGGTGCCATCAAAACTCTTTGGGTGCGAGCTCCGATGCCTGTCAGCCATTTACCCAGCACCTCAAGGGCATTTTTCAGGGATTAAGGATATTGCTTAAGGGCCACTTGGCAATGTGACTATTCTGCCAAGCACATGATTCAAACCGGCGACTTTACCATCATAGGCACAGAGGACCAGCAAGTTAAAAATCAGGAAGGAAAACAAATCAAGAACATTATAGAGTTATCCAGCTTTTGGTTAAATGGTTGCATTGTGTGATGTAGACCTCTTCTAATTTTACTACATAACCATCTTTGTAAAATTTAATTTAAACCTATACACTTAATGTTATTTAGCAAAATATAGTGTATTAAACTGACCTAACAAGGTGATAACCACCAAACATTCAATTTGAAAATTTCTTTGATGCAATTAAGATTGTACTGTACTATGCCAGTACCAGATTATTCATAAGTATGCAGCTAAAAACAGCAAACAGATAATGACAAATTATGTATTGAATGTTTAATAAACAATTTATATATATTTTCATACATATGTTGTCATTTAATTACAAGTCAAGCTAGGCAAATACCATGGAAACATTAAAATACAAAAACTATAAAACTATGGCTTGATTTAGCTTTGTTAGATATTGAAGTACAAATTGTATTTTCCTTGAAGTTTAAAATCATCTGGCTAACAATACAGACCAATGTTCATTTATTCATTCATTCGTTCATTCATTCTTTGATTGGAGAGCTGGTCAAAGTCTGCTGGTTTGGTGCCGTTGGGGCCTGATTTGCAGTCGCCACACCCTCGCAACTTCGGGTCCAGCATCATCCAGTTTCTGGAATATTGTGGGATCATGTGTCACAGAAAAAGCCTGCAGTAGAGGTGCCAGCACACTCATAGGGATGCAGAAGTTGAGGTGTGGATAGGTCACATCAGCAGCAAAGTCCCGTGTATTACTGCATACAAGACCTGAACACAGGGGTATATATAAAATTTAGTCAGACATACAAGATACACTTGCAGAACTGTGAAATAATAAAGCAATTGTATGGAGTGAGATTAATACAAATACCAAATGTCAATAGCAACATTTCTATTTATATATTGTTCATTTTTTAATAAAAATCTTGCAGTTGTAAGCCTAAGGTGCTTCACCATCGCTAATACAAAGATGCACAAGTGTGGCAGCATGTATGGGGCAAAGCACTGTGTTTTGCTGCCAGATTAGTGACTCAGGGAAACAATGCCCTTTCTTATGTCATTCAACAGTCTATGAGGCAGGGAATGAAACACTATATTATCCATTATGTCTATAGACATATAATACACAACACCTGTTATCAATTAAATTGTAAATGTCTGACAACTGATTACAAGTTGCCGTGGAATGACCCTATATTAAAATAACTACATGCATTTTAATTTGAACATTATGATATATGCTGCACGTATTATTAAAAACAAACAGACCATATTGAAACTGCAGATTAACAAACATTCAGGGAAACAAAAGTGAGTATACCTTCCATCCGTCATACATTTTCTATATTATGTAATTTTCATTTCAGGCTAATTGCATATGGCCTTTCACAAAACTATATCTGACCAGTTTTGCATGCTAGGTCTCTGGTTAAGTTATTCAAAACAAACAGTTAATACCACATTTCTCAATTTTGATCCCTTATGAGATCCTTTTAATTTGTTATAGCCCAACATAGCAAGGAATTGCCTGAAAATAAGAAACCAGGTAGTAAAACTTTACAAAAAAATGGAAAAGGGTAAAAGAACATGAGTAAGCTGTTATACAAAAGCTGAAGCACAACTACAGCAATTATTGGAATGTATCAGAACAGGCACAGTAACAGAAACTAACATCTTACAGGGCAGCATATAAATGTTAGTATTGGCGCTGTTACCTAGAAGTTCTCCCGTGTCTGTTTGCACCAGAGCACCTCCACTGGCACCTGCCTGCACTGCACAGGTAGTCTGCAGCATCGCTGCTTGCGACTGGCATGTGACGACTTTAGACAAAATCCCCGATGTAACAGAATGTCCACAACTATGGCCAAATACACCATAGCCAATGATGCACACACTTTTACCTGCAAATACACGGAGAAAAACATTAAAAGAAGATGTATACCTTTCTACAAGACAATAATAAAGTCTTAAGTTGTGTCAGGATGCATCCTTCCATTTCTAGGCAGGAACAGAGGCTGGAACCATATGCATACTGTACAAGAAGTGACCCAACCAGGGGTATAGTTAGAGATGAATAGATAGGGAGGTGAGTCTTTACTATTGGGGGATGATGGCAAACATATTTAATATAAAAAAGCTATTCATGACTTAAGCCAATGAATGAAAATTTATTTGGGGGGGTTTAAAAAACATTTAGGGGGCCTAAAGTGTGACACACCCTGGACCCAACGTACCTGGCTTGAAAGAAGAGGCTAATTTTGGAACAATAATATCAGGAAGAGGTTCTTGCAGCCACACTATTGCCACATCAAATGGTGCCGTAACTTTTGTGGCAAACAGCACATCACCCATCACAGAAAGCAATCTGAGGGCATAAACAAAAGAAGCTTTCAAAGTATACTTTAAGTTCATTCTTTGATCATATCCATTCTTGTGCAGACTTTAAACACGTTGAAATTTATGTATATCTCAGACATTGATTTAACGGTTTCCATCCTTCAAAAGGACATTCCTTTATGGCAAAAAAAAATGCAACAACTGAATTTATAAAAGACAAATGATTATAATAATGGAACAGAATGTCTTTATTGTCATTGTGCAGACAGCAAGTGCAAGAAAATTCATTCTTCACATATCCCATCCTGTTCTCTACTGTGACACACACATACAAGTGAGTGCAAAATTTGGGGTCAGTGTACAGGGTAAACCATTCATCTGGAACCCCTAGAACAGTTTGTACAGTTAATGACCTTGCTCGAGGGCTTAATAGTGGTATTCTTACTCTGCTGGCCACAGGGAATTGAACGAGCAACCTCCTAATCACAAGCCTAGAGGCCTAATCCAAAAAACTATAGAGCAATCCTCTCCCCCAATAATTCATATAATATAGTCTGAAATGGCTATTAAAGACGTCTGTCAAGTTCCAACATGGCCTTTGCTTTGTTTGGAACTTATAATCTTTGCTGCTATTTCATTTTAGGAAAGAATTATTAGTCCAAAAACAACAAGGTTTCAGAACTACATACTTAGACCCCTAATTATTGGCCTATTGTCTACTCAGCTACTACTTTACAGAAGCCTATTAATACAATTTTCTGTCTAAACAATCAACTGAACACTGGAATAAAACAATAACCCAATTAGCCTGCAGCAATCCCAGAAAGACCACACACAATTGCATTAATTCTTGAACTGTATTTTTTCAGTGCAACATTCTACAATGTTTTCATGACTGATTTTAAAAAATCAGTTAGTTCTATTCTTTTCAATATATCATGTGTCAAACTTACATACCTTTTGGAAGTCTTGTACCTCACAACCACCCTGGATTTTCCATTCAATACATGTCTACAAGTCAGAACCAGTTGGGAGTTCAAGAGAACTCCAGAACCCCAGAATTGGTTACTGTCAACTAAACACACCATTGGGAAATTTTGAATGATCGCACACAGCCCTTTATGCAGCAAGGCTTGATTTACATCAACAGGCACTTCAATAGACAACTTGTTCAGTGATTGTCTGTGATTTACTGCTTGTGCTAGGTTTTGCAGTATCAAATGAAAGGAACACACTAAAGTGAGGCCAACCCATTCCCTTGACTTCCAACAAAATGGAGACACAATCAAACCCACAAGGAATGCAGCATCTCCTTCTTTAACAAACAGCCCTCCTCCTTCCGTACCTGGCAAGCAGTGTGAGTCTGTAAGGATAACTGCATTATCCTTTCCTACAACATTACTCACAATACCTTTGCTCAATGTGTTCATAAAAAGATCAGGGCAGACAGATCCAAATGGAGAACCACAGGCAAAAACCTCACATCCTTTCTCTAGAGCACAACTAGAAACCCAATGGACAGTGTCTTTACCTGCCGATTTTACCAAACCAGGCACCCTAAGAAGAGCGAAGTAACTTAAAAAGTCCGAATCCTTAATTAGATCAGCATGCTCCTCACCCAAGGAAAAGCGCCAGTTGTCTGAAACCTTAAATAATTCCAAAAACGCTGTCTGAAACTCAAGACAGTTTATCAACACAATAAATTCAGCCTTAAGGTGGGTTAATTTCAGCCTGTTTTGTTCTGGATTCGTCGTCCTACCTCGACACGTTATTGCGTTTGATGGATGAGTCGTGTAATCGTGTTGTACGTAGATCGTAAGAGTATCGCTAAAACTCCCTCGTAACAAAAACTGGAAGTCAGTGGACAACACGTCTTTCCTAATAAGAAAACGAGAAAACAAGTGGCCACTGCAAAGCACAAGCCCATGAGACTCATTTAAGATGACTCCGCTGCAGCTGAATTGTTTGTGTACCTTGGAGTAATCAGACTGCTCACCGACGTGTTTTTCAGACGATTCAAAAGCCGTCACAACGCAACACGTTTCTGCTATGCCAACCATAACTACCCGATTCTACAATGGAACCTAGTTATACAACTAAATCCGTCCACAGATGTAAAATTCGCTAACACTATAAATGATCAGATTAATGCTCTTATTTTTAATGTTGCTAATTCTGTATCCCATTAACCGATCTACCGGTTCTATAGTTCGCTTATCTTGACGTTACGCCTATATATACTGTACACTGCATTAATGTGTAAATCGCCGATCTTTTCTGTTAATGTTAGCTATACAATAATCAATTTAAGCGTTAAACCTTATCCACCATGGAACCTGCACCCGCCATAGTCGCCTTTTGGACTTGGGACACGGAAATAACAACACTGTCACGTGAGCAGTCAGGGTCACCGGCCGACAAAGCATGAGAAGATGGGCCATTAATATCAAGACAAATATTGAGCAAATTTAATTTATTTATTACATACATTTTATTATGTTTATAGTGAATTCCCTTTGCAAGATAAGGTGTAAACGTGCAAATTCCGAATAATTCCTTCATAAATAAAAAGGTTAAACTAGCGTCATTAAATAGTTGCATACATTTTTTTCCAGCGGATCGTTTTCCAAAAGTTCGACCTAGATATTGACTATAATCATGTTCTTCGAGACTACTGTTTTTATTATTATTTATTCAAACATTTTGAGTAGCCTACATTTAAAATTATAAACGCACATCATACCATGTTCATTGCTTGGCAACGGAAAATTGTGAATAAGCGAGGCATACTAATTAGTTTTCATAATTAGTATTTATTATTTAATTTTGCCCTGCGCAACCGGGACCATGCTGTGAACATCAGTACTGAAAGGTACAGAATTTCACCAACATGAAGTAATTTTCCCCTTGGGATCAATAAAGTTTATAGTTTTGTTTTTTGTTCATGAGGCACATGCCTCGGTTTGGAGCTTCCACAAATAACTCCTTTCATTTTCGAGATCTAGTTCATTTATGTCATTACTCTCATCCTTCTTGAAAAGGCAACACGTATTCCTCGGTTCCTAGAGCTACTTGCCACTGTGGCTTAAATACTTTTACCTCACATCACCAGGGCTGCATCTTGAATCCCACCCCCTGCTCTAAGTATGTGGAGTTTACACGTTCAGCCAATATTGGCAGGTTTCCTCCCACAGTCCAAAGACATGCAGAGTGTGTGTCCTGATATTCTACCCAGGGCGTTCCCTAGCCTTGTGCTCTATGCTGGCAGGAAGAATAAATCTATAAGTACAACATTAAGAAGCATTACATTGTTTTGCAGAAAAAGGGAACTTTGTATCAACATTATTCCTTTGTTACAATGTACAGAAAGTTTAATTTAACATTGTTGTAAGAATCCAAAAATAATATTAAGCAAGGTCAACGTTCACTTTCATAAGACTAGGAGAGCAAAGAAAACGGCAAAACCTTCCACAATAACTGATATATTCATGTTTTAATCAAAACTAAATCAGAATATAAAAGTAACATATGAGAATGAAAATATTGGCTGTTTCAGAATTTTAGGATTAAGCCCTTTTTTCCTGGCCTTACACCTCACTCGGACTATGAAACCGTTTTAGATAATCTGAAAATGATTCAAGAATTACATGTTATCAGCATTTTACTGAAGTTAATTCTTATATTACTCTTAATGTGTGAACTAAATTGATAAAAAAAAAAAAGGCCGGTCAAACTCAATGGCTCTACTCCCATAATCAGTCACTAACCTTAATTACGTAAACTACATCTTCCGTACCACTTTATACCTCTTTATCAAGACACTACTGAATTTATCTAAGAAATGACAGAAACTCGACAGGATTTCCGGTTCTTGACTTCACGACCGGATGACGTGGCTTCTTTCTACCACCGGTAGTTGAATGGATTTTTTTTATTCAACGCAAGCTCAACAGAGTCTACGCTGATTGGACTCAACTGCTCACGTGACTTGTCCCAGACAATCAAACGCGAGTGCGTGCAGTATTCAGAAAAATAGGCCGTAATGTGTGCGCGAGAATCCCAAATCTGCCACTGAAATACGACCAGGAAGAAGGAAGGTGTCACGGCTCCAGCAAAGCTAACACCTCATCGTTGATCAGAAAAAAGGTTTAGGAATAATGGGGTTACCAAAATGTAAACTATTCGTAATGATATTGCTGTTTGCTGTGGAAATACCATTCCCAGTTCAAGCCGACGAACATGAACACACGGTAAGATAATATGAGGCCCAGAAATAAAGCCTTGATTGAGCCGTTGGTAGAAATCTCCGCATAATTATGTCGGATACACCTGGTGGTCTGAACTAAGTTAGCAAGAAAGAATAATATAAAACCGAGAAGTACCATTCCGTTGCGTTAACGAAAGGTTGTCACTAGGACAAATTGTGATGTTAATTAGCTGACTTGTAATATAACTTTAGGGTAATTTCCGACGTTCCCCATCATTCTATGCATATTTTCCTGGGATCTAATATAATCACCAGGAGCTTGATATATTGCATTTAAATAGTATGCAGTATAAGTCAGAGCAGTTCAGTTTTTGTGATAGCTGTTGCTAAGTCCAACGTAAAAGTGCCCATCGATGTAAAATTCCGCAGCTATTTAGTTTCCAGCAATATTCGGTAATCACGACACTAGTTTAAAGATGTCAGCTATTTCAAATGCACACAGATAGCACGATACTTGTAAAAACCCGTGTCCCATTGTGAAGTTGAATCCAAGTAACTATATCCGGGTTTTGGCCTTGTTATGTGTTGATACATCAGGTACTGAACGTGTCGTTGACTGGAGCTTTAATTCATTCTTTGGGGGTGTTAAAGGACAATGAACGTAAAGCGTATTGAATGTATCGTCATGCCAGACTGCAGACATCGCTGTCGTGGAAAAATCCGACAAGTGGAACCCAGTTCGGAGAAAGATGGAGAATCGTCTTCCTCAGGAAGAATTCAGATGTCGCACTGTTGGGCGCAAGTGTGTCACATATCCACGCGGCAGTCCATTCGTCACTGATCGCTAATTAATCAAACGGGAATAACAATAATAACATGATTTGGCGTTTTTAAATTAAAAAGGCCCGCATCGACAGTTAGAATTAAAAACTTCTCTATTCAAGGGGTAAATATCATGACAGATATCCAGTCGTTTTGTGAGCTTACATTTATAGAACTAACCCTTTTGAAAGGCTCAAAAAGTAAGCCGGTCATACTGTCGAGTTTGAAGGCACTTGGTTTAATTTCATAGAGAGCAGGTTGCTGAAGACGTTGCTTGCAAGGGTTTGAAAAGGAGTGCATGGAGAAGTGACACCACTAATGGACTACATTTCCTTGTAGAATCCTAGAGGTTTTACAGTTGAGATTTTACAACAGACATTGTACCACAGTTAAATGTAAAAGACGTTTCCATGTATAAACGTCAATGTGTCAAGTAAATGGGATGCAGCAATAAGTCCCTACAGTACGGAGTATTTGCAGTTCTAATTCTGTCTATTTGGTTAGGTTACTTTTGGCCTCTATTGAAATTACACTGTGTGTCTTTAAGCCTCTAGCCTTTATTTGTTTCATAATGTAATTTTATACATAAACTTCTGTAGTACTTGTTGCTGTAAAAAAATTACTTATTTCTAAAAGAGCACTATATGAGTGTACTATTTTTTACATGCCATCAATGAGTTTTTAAATATTGCATTTTCCAATCAATCTGTGAAATCAGTGTGACAGAAAAACAGTTATAGGGCTTTGCATATCCTTATTTACAAGCATTACTTGTTTTACAGTGTCATGTCTGTTGTATTGTTTCCTAAATAAGTTATAGGTTTGTGTCACACCCAGGAGACTTAATAGTCAAAATGTTTAAAAAATTGTTTTTTTTTCCTGTTTATATAGATAAAGTATGTGCTTGGTAAATTGGTCGACAGTTTCAGCTTTTTACATTATCAATTTTCGGTGCTTGTGGATTTTGTAATAGTCAGGGCTTTATCCATTAAAGTTAGGCCCTCTATTCACCACTGTTCAGCTTGTCCTATTAGAAATGATATTACTTTCTCTGGTTACCCAGTCTATAAAACCTGGGGACCCTGATTGTTCATCACTGAGTGCTGTGATGGAGATAGTTCAGACTACCGTAAGCCTTAGCATTGGCGTGTGTCGGTCAATTTAGACTATTTCACGCAGAGGAAGTCAATCGCAAGTTGTTTGTTTTTTTTTCTAAACTTGAGACAAAGCTCTAAAGTATCTGGAGACAACTGCTTAGATAACTGTAATTGGAATCCATTTTGAAACCATACAGCAACATTCTCTCCCCTCATGCTTCCAAACATCCTGTACATCTCCCAAATTGTTTACTCTGACAACAGTCCTATGCACGCTGATATGCCGCCTTCAAGTTTCAGTGCATCTGATTTTTGATTATGTATTGAATGAATATCAGAGTGTCAGGGGATTACACCAAGGCCATGTAATATGTGACATTCTAAATTTCCCAGCTGAAGAGTCGGTTTTCCCCAGTCTTTCTCCATAACTTTTAAATTGCTTTTTCTAAATTTGAGGTTCAGACACCCTGCAAAAACATGTACATGGATTTGATGGCAAATATTATTTGGAGATGGGCATATTTATTTCTGAAATAACTTTACCCAGTGCTGGATCGTTTTCAGTCAATATTCTGTGCCTCAGTAGTGGTGTGTGTTTTTTCTGCATAAGAATTTAAGTGAATTTCCCACAAAAGTGTGTTTATTTTTATTCATTTATTATTATTTTTTTATATATAAACACATTTATTCCTTTTCAGTTCTGAGCTCAGAATTTCAAACTTTTCTTTTTCTTCAGCTTGAGTATAATGAGGAATACTGATACAGATGTGTTACACTTAAACCATTTTGTCTCACTAGAAATATTTGGTGCCTACGCTCCCCTGTATTATACAACCTCTTTAATTCAGTGTTTAGGAAATGTAACCTATTTTGCATGTTTTAATTGTAGGAAGCGTTTCTTATTTCACTGCAACTTTTTCAGAATGTTTTCTTTTCCGTTCCTCCCTTGCAGTACACAGATAAGGAGGAGGTCGTTTTGTGGATGAATACAGTGGGCCCATATCACAATAGACAAGAAACCTACAAGTACTTTTCCCTACCCTTTTGTGTGGGAACCAAAAAGACAATCAGTCATTATCATGAAACCTTGGGAGAAGCTCTTCAAGGAGTGGAACTTGAATTCAGTGGCTTGGACATCAAATTTAAAGGTAAAACACCCCATGTAACCTCATGACTGTCTTCTGAATTCTGTATGTTGATGTAATGCTAATATTTTGCTTATTGGTTCTTAAAGCATTAAATTAGTTTCAGAAAGTACCAG